AAGCTTTTCTACAGATGCCACCTGATGACATTCTTAGCTTTTGGGTTGGAAGCCAGTGCATCTGCTAAGACAATAAAGGTTTTTATCCATTAGTTACAGGATGTTATGACACAGAGGTGGGCAAGGGTTGGTTGTTCTGGGGGCTAAAGCCAGCCCAAGATAAGGTGACTAGCCTCTGTGCCTGTAACGGACCAATCTCTCCACAGTGCTGAACGTCTAATCAGTTCATTAGTCTCTGTAAATGCAGCTTCTCTCTGGGAGTTTGTGTTCACAAAAAGGAGGAAAGAAGATGGAGGTGGGATCTCAAGGCCAGTGTGGAAACCCACATTCAACCTCAGGGATTGAGTTGCCAAGTCAAGAGAGCTCAGGCAAGCAACGCCCCTTTTATAAAGACATTTCGGAATATGACCTGTAGGGATTCTGAGTTAATGTGTATATGCTTGGTACATTGTAGGCTCTTGGGAGGTAGAGGCTGTCACAGGAGCCTTATGATCATGAGGGGCACCAGCTCCCCCTCCCACATACCAGGCCCACATTCGGGGCAGAGAACATATTCAGCCACATATTGGTTCTAAATCCTTTTTGCCCTCTTTTCCCTTCCCTTGTATCCTACAGAAGACCAGACCATCCCTTCATACTTTCTTATTGAAAGTGCCTGATGTGTGCCAGGCATAGGCTTAGTGTGCCTACATTGTCTCTCATTTGGATGCTAAACAACCCTGAAACTCTTTGTCATTAGCCTCACTGTATATCAAAGAAAATCAACTTTCTCCAAGTGGTGGTAAGTGACCAGCTGGAATCTACACTCTCCCTACTAAACAGACTCAATGGGCCTGCAGCCAGGACAGACAGGATTGGAGGGGTTGCCTTTCTCAAAACCATCCAAACTCTCTCATGTCAAGCTGCTTTTCCAAGTTGTTTGACTTGGCCATTCAAGTGTGGCAGATACAAATGTCTATTAGGTGCTCAGCAGGGACAGTGGGAACTGGTCTGTGTGTATCTCTCCCTCATGACTAGGGTCAAAGTAAGATGCAAGTCCAATGTCTTAAAGGCTTTTGGCTTTTTCCAAACAAGTTGGAAATCAAGCTTTTTCCCCCCTTTGAAAACTCCCAGTTTAAAAAAATGTCTGTTTACTCACTCAACAAACTTGTATGGAGCTCCTGGTCTCATTTGAGCCCAGAATGAAGCTCTGGGGATAATTCATCCTCTATCATTCATCCATTCATCTGTTCAGCTACTTTTCCATCCATGCATCCATTCATGCATGCATCCTTCCATTCATGCATCCATTCATGCATGCATCCATCTAACCATGCATGCATCCATACATCCATGCAAGCATCCATCCAACCATCCATGCATCCATCTATCCATGCATCGATCAAACAAACTTCTTTGGTCCTGTCATGACATTTCAAACAAATGCAAACTATAGCTAGGTCTATATGGCTGACATGAACTTGCTTCTGCCCTCTCTTGGCATTTAGTACCCCAGTTTCTCTTTTATGTATTTTTCTCAACTGTGGTCAGCACACCACACATATTCATACTGCAGGAACTTTCCAAAATCCCCTCTTTGCCAGACTCAGACAGTTAGATGTAATTATGCACTGGGGCTAGCATTGGTAGCACCAGGAGCTCCAAGGAGGGATAGTGTCAAGGCAGTCTTCCTGGAGGTGATTCCTGAGGATGAATTATAAAGAATGAGTGAAAATTAGTGGGTCAAAGGTAACAGGAATGGGTGCCAGGAGTTCGGGGCAGAGGGAATTGTGTATGCAAGGGCTGGGGATACCGAGCATGGGACCTTGGTTGTGGAGTTGAGAAAAATATTGGTTTCAGCCTTATGAGGTTATCTTGAGGACTCCCTCGCATTAAGCCATGTACAGGATGGAGCCCAGACAGGCATACAAATGCAAGCCCTCTGTGTTGGGAAGGCAGACCTCTGGGAGGCATTACCCAGTGTGAGAGGCTGGAACAGAGCTGGGTCAGATGGGAGTGTCCAGAGAGTCCTCTGGCTACCAAGGAGATTGTGTCTGGGGTACCAGCTTTGTATAGAGAGGTCTAAATTGGGTCTATTTTAGAGTTCACTGCTTTGGGAAGTCTCCCAACAGGTGTGAGAGACTGACACAGGCTCACCATTGGTTTAAGTTGCACAAGTATTATAACAGGCCAGGGCAGCTATCATTAGTATCAGAAAAACAAAAGTAACACACACACACACACACACACACACACACACACACACACCAAAACCCAAATCCCAAAACCGTGAACCATTTATTTTGTCTGCATGTAAGTGGAACATTCACTTGCCCAGACCTCTGATTTTTCTCCTCTGATAGAGCAGGGGAGAAACCCGAGGGACGCAGAGACACACAGGCTCCATGAATATAGTTCTCTGAGTTTTCTACTCCGGGCTTCCCTGCACCAGCAGCACTTGAGCCCGGTCTAAGGAGAAGCACCTGGACCTGCATTCTAGCCTGCAGTTGCATGTAATCTCGGACAAATTACCCAGTCCCAGAGCACCAGTTTTCACATCTCCAAAGTGGGCCAATCATGCCCACCTCTCAGCTGGTGGGTAGGTTAAGCTTGGAGTAGAGTCAATGCTCTGTGAATTGTTGCTGGGACTCATAGAAGACTTAGCTGTTGGTGACTCAAACCTATTCTAGAAACTACAATTATTAGTTGGAGAGAATCCACGGAGTGGGCCCTGCACCCCAGCTTTCTTCACTGCTCGGGGCTGGATGTGGGCAGCTCTCTGCAATAGAAGTGCCCTCATGGTGGCTTAGGGCAGTAGAAGCTCAATGATGACAACTAAAATAATGGTTAGGAAGGTTAGGGGAGCCTACTGTGTGTTTTGAGAGAGGAGAGCTGTTCTGGAGTGTATTCCAGGGTTTGGGGTCATGGGTGGGTGAATCTTCGAAGTCCCGGAACATCAGAAGAGAAAGAGCAGTTTGCAGGAGGGAAGGCACACAGTGTCTCTTGTAGGTCAGGTTGTCTAGGCCGGGAAGAGAGTAAAACCCCCAGCTGGCCAGCAAGAGGTCTCTGAGGCCTCACAGTTCCACTTTCAAGAACCACATGGTGATCTGACGTATAAAGAGTTGACTGACGGGGCCAGAGTGATGGGTCAGTGGTTAAGAGTGAACACTGCTTTCGCAAAGGACCCAAGTTTGGTTCCCAGCACCCAGGCCAGGCAACTCACAACCGACTGAAACTTCAGCTCTGGGGGATCCAGGGCACCTTCTGTTGACTTCCACAGGCAACTGAAATATCTACCTCCCCATCTGACATAGACGTAGAATTAAAAAATAGAAATCTTTTAAAAATTGACTATGAAAGGACAACTTTAATTTTTTACCTCAATTGAAATATAATTACATAATTGTCCTCTTTCTTTTCCTCTCTCCAGTCTTCCTCATGCCCCTTCCTGTCAACTCCTCTCATCCTCCCCCTCTTGATAGGGACAGCCTTTAGTAGACTTTCTTATAAACCATCAGTTCATCTGTCAAATATTTACCAAGGGCCTATTATGTGCTGGCTGGAGTTTTAAATGCTAGGATAAGAAGTTAAGACAGCCAAGGTCAGTGCCTTCGAGAGCAAATGTTCTAGGTGGGGAAACGGTAAGGGCAGGTAACTCAGCTAGTGTGAGCCTGTCTGGCTCTGTGACATTTAGCTTATTTCATGAAGAAAGGCAGTCTTGTGAAAACCTGAGGCCAGAATACTTCAGACAGAGGAAGAGAAAGTACAAGTGTACCGAGGCAGAAACAAGCTTAGCCCATCTGAGGCCCACAAGCAAGTACTACAGGGAGGTCAAAAGATTGTCTCTTGACAAATCACACCGCACACATGCCTGGAGGGGCAGAGCGCTTGCACAGGTAGTTAGGGGGTGGACTGTTGTGATGGAAGAGGTACAAGGAAAGAAGTGACAAGAGGAGAGGAAAAGTTCTCCGGGAAGAGGAAACCTCATGTACAAGGCCAAGAGGTGAGAAAGTAGATCCCAGACTTGACTGTTGGGGTGAGGGATGGAGCCAGACAGAGAGTGCCTGACCATGAGGCCTCATGACACCTAGTGGGTGCCATCTTAGAGTTACTACGCTGAGAAGGTTATTTATTTCATGCTCCAATCAGAGCAGCTAAGGAAGGGGCCAGCATGGAGAAGGGGTGAAGGAGGAGCTCTGGTTAGAGTGAGGAACAGTGCAGAAGTGAAAAAGACGAGCTCTAGAGAACTTGCAAAAACTAGAACGATCAGGAGTGTAAGTCAGTAGTACGATGCTTGTCTACCACGTGTGAGGCCCTTGGTTCTATCCCCAGTACCAGAGAGGGAGGGAGAGAGAGATAAAGAGAGACAGAGACAGACAGACAGACAGAGAATAAGACCAAGAGAAGAGTGAGAGAGATAAAGAGAGGCAAAGACAGGCAGAGAAAGAGAGAGGCAGAGAGAGAGAGACAAAGAGACAAAGATAGGAGACAAAGACAGAGTCAGAGAGAGGATAGACATAGAGACAGAAAGGAGAGAGAGACAGAGAGGGAAAGAGGAGAGAGAGACAGAAAGAGAGAGAGACAGACAGAGAGAACACTCCAGCTTGGGGACTCAGGACACAGAGGCATACCTTAGTCAAATGACTTGCAGTTGGACAGATCCGATCAAGTCCTGACTTCCTAGCTTCCCAGTCATAGGGAACCATTTTCCTGTGCCTCAGCTTCTTCACTTGTCAAGTGAAAACCACAGCACAGCCTGCCTGGCAGAGCTGCTCCATGGACAGTGAACAGAGAAAAGATCCCAGTATGCAGTGATTACTCAGTGCTCAGCCCCTTCTCACTCCCTGGCCTTGACTCCTACTTTACCTCCCCAGCTTCTGTGTCCTTGACTACAGGACTGGAAGGAGAATGCCTGCCTGTGCTGCTCTTACACCAGATGTGAGTAAGAGATATGGCCTTGTCGGTTCAGGAAGACTTCACCATCTTGTCCTTTTCCTTCTCCAGCAGAAGAGTGAGACAGAATGGCATGGTCTGCACTGATGCTGGCAGCTTGCCTCCTTGTGGTGGTACCCCCTAACGATGCAGCCGACTGCCTGTCCCTGTGCTCCCTGTGTGCGGTGAGGACTCAGGATGCACCCCATTCCATCAACCCCCTGGTAGGTCTCAGCAAGGCTTCTCCATACCATTCTATTTGTGGGTAGAGCCCAGAGAAGGGAGGTGGTATATCTGGGCAGCTGAGTCTGCTGTATCTACAGCATCGGTGCATGTCTTCTCCTGTCCTCCAGACAGCAGGGAACCAGGGTCTCCTGTTGTCTAGTTCCCACTGCAGTTTAGACTTTATCATCATGCCTCTCCCAGGCCTGCATACAGACCACATTTCCAGGCAGCCAAGTGCCTGGCAACAGAGTGTAGACCATGAGGTGCTCACTGTGCTGTCGGCAGCACTGGGTACACATGTCTGTAGCTTCTTTTCCCAGCTAACAGGCACCTCCAAATTCAGTCTTTTGGCCAAGTCCCTCCCCATCAGCCCTGTCAGGATCCTTTTGGTGGGCTTGGAGCCTCTGCCCCTTTCTTGGGCCCGAGACTCTATGCCTGGCCTGTTGATGCTGCTTTGGGTCATGGTGGACCACACGTCTCTCCTAGAACTGTAGAAGGATGGCAGTAGTGTCGGCTGAGCTGTGGCTTTGATTCTGGCTCTTTCTAGTTTTTTTCCTCTGAAACTGTCCTCTGAGTCTCACTTTCCTCATCTACAAAATGAGAGTGATTCTCTGAGCTCATGATGATAAGTGTTTAATATCTGAGACTAGTCTGTATCCACTGAGCGGTGGCCACAGTGTGGCCTGCTCACCCACAGGAAGGCAATGTGGCGAAGCACAGGGACTCCAGCCGCAGACCTTCAGAATTCAAGTTCCAGCATTGCTCACTTCCGTTAATATCATTATAGTCAAGGTGATTGGATGCTCCCTACGGCACCATGAAGCAGATCCTATGGTCCCTCCAACAGGTACCCTCAGGTGTTCTGCCCTCTGTGCATTCTTCCCGCTGTTCTGAACCTCTCTGTCTCTAAAGTGTTAGCAGTCCCCTCCACTCCTGGTAGAGCAACTATAGCCTTTGGAGGAGGGAAAGAATATGTGTAGGTCAATAGGAACATCTTGCTTCTACGTTTTGGCATTTTCACCCATGTCTCTTGTACCTTTGGGTAAGTCTGATTTCACATCTCTCACATGAGGAAAGTCATCTGGTGACATTACCAATGTGCTCCTTGGGATCCTTTCAGATTTGCTCCCTGGAGTGCCAGGACCTGGTGCCACCATCAGAGGAGTGGGAGAGATGCCAGCGCTTTTTGTCCGTCCTCGCCCTCTCTGCCTCTGGGCTCCGTGGCAAGGATGATCTGGGGAACGAGGTTGCTTTGGAAAAAGGCTACAGTGCACTGACCGAGTTCTTGGAGCCCCTCCTGAAGGAGCTGGAGAAAAGCCGATTCCTCACCAGCGTCTCAGAGGAAAACCTCAGGGGTCTCTTAGACAGGTTTGGGGATGGAAAAGAGTCTGAACTGGTGGGTGCTGACCGGATGAACGATGGAGCCACGGAGGCTGACACACAGCATTTCAACGAGGAGGGCTTGAGGAAACAGGCCAAACGCTATGGCGGCTTTTTGCGCAAATACCCCAAGAGGAGCTCAGAGATGGCTGGGGATGAGGATGGGGGCCAGGATGGGGATCCGGTAGGACATGAGGACCTGTACAAACGCTATGGGGGCTTCCTGCGGCGCATTCGCCCCAAGCTGAAGTGGGACAACCAGAAGCGCTATGGCGGCTTCCTTCGGCGTCAGTTCAAGGTGGTGACTCGGTCCCAGGAGAACCCCAATACCTACTCTGAAGATTTAGATGTTTGATGCATAACACTTCCCCACCATGGAGTTGGGTTAGCAGTTTGCCCCGACCTCTTCCTGTACCAGAATCCGCTTCTTCAACCTCTTGTGCGTGTCCCACCCCTCGCTCCAGTCAGCACCCAGAGGAAACTGTCTAAGCCCAGCCCAGCCCTGTTCTGCCTAGGAGTGCAGTATTTGTTTGCAGTCAGTGACAGAGAAGAGTGACGGTCCCTCCTAATAGGCCCAGTGTCTGTCTCAAACCCTTAGACCTCTAAACTACCACTATTAGCGATAGTTTTTGACATCAGCCCGACCACTCTGTCCCTGTGCCACCCCCACCACAGAATCCAGAGAGACTTGTTCTTTGTATCTGTAGATCTGTGTTCCCCAAACTTCACTGATCATGCGCTCCTCTCTGAAGAAAAATGAGCATTCCCTGATAGTACGAATACATGAGATGGAGTAAAAACTTAAGATACATACAAATAGAAATTCAAACTGCATTCTTGGTCAGGAGCTCTTTTTATGTACTCTGCTCTGGAGGCCGCGGGCTAAATGAAAAGCCTTTTCGGGGCAGTGATTATGACCCCAGAGAGACCAGGCTTTTAGCATGCTCAGTGTTCTGTCCGAGCATCCAGAGTTCTCATGCTTTCAAATGTGTCCCTGGAAAAGCCCCGCTCCTAGGCCCTGTGTTAGTTAGGGTGGTGCTTGTCCTGAAGGAGTGAAAGCCCCTTGCTCATGATGACAAGCCATGAGCTTCTAAAAAGCTGAAATGATAAGAGGGAGCAAAGCAAACCAATTTGTTCTGTGCAACGAATTCAGAATTTGGGCCAGTTCCCACAGCCCTCATTAAAAACGTTCAGTATCACACTTCCACCCCATGAGGAACTGAATTCGAGTGGAGCCGAGGAGGCTAAGCACAGCTGTGTTCTTCAGTAGTTGAGTTGGCTGCGGGAGGCAGAGCCATTTGGCTGAGCCATTTGGCCCGGCGTATGCCCTGGCACTGGGAAAGGGGATCCAGAAGCTGCAGCTGAAGGAGGGTCTGTCCCACCACAACACTGGAGCGAGCCTTATTCTCTGTGTCTCCAAATAAAAGCAGCAGAGAGCAGAAAGTAATTGAAGGTTCAAGATCCACTGGATTCCCTTGATTCAAATTAGCCAGATGAGAGGCAAGGTCCTCTTTGGTTTCAAATCTCCACATCTCCAGGCAGACGTTGATATTGATAGGTTAGGAACATGAGGCTGGTGGGAGAGGTAACAGACTGGATTTGCATATTTGCATAAGATGTCTTGAGTGGTCTCGTTCCCTGCATAGGCCATAACCTGTAGAGCTTTCCATGTGTTCTGAAATCTGTAGATTGTTTTAGGATGGCTTTGTTGCTGCTTAAAAACCACATTTGTCCAACTTACTTGGAATATGTGAGTCCTTAATAAGCCTGTGTAATTCCCTGCTTCTCTGGAATAATAAATAAAGTTATGCTGATGACTTGGTGTGTTTGTATGAGTAATAGTCTCCAGAGAAAGTATACTGCATTATATATGCATATTTGATATGTGCATACCCACATAAGCGTGCGCGCACACACACACACACACAGACACACACACACACACACACACACACACACACACACACAGTTGTATTGGAGGATTGAACCTGGTGCCTCATGCATGATATGCAAACACTCTACCACCAAGCTATAACTCCAGCCCCTATAGTCATATAATAAAACAAAGTGTGAAATAACAGAAAATAAGAAAGCGAGTGTGCCACAGACTCGTCTGTAAATCGAGTCTGTGTGACTTTATGTAAGTCATTAGCCTCTCTGGGCCTTCCTTTGCTGTTTTTCTGGCTACTTAGCAGTCACACCTGAATCTACTGCTATTTTAACCACTGTCTGTGCCCTGAGGCCTGCAGTCAGCACCCAGCTGCCCAGGCGGCAGCCTGGCACGATTTCTGGTCCCACCAGCAGTGGCTTGGCTGCAGCTGCCAAATGTAATTTTTTAAAAATTTATTTAACTTTATTTTATGTGCATTGGCATCAGATCCCCTGAAACTGAAGTTACAGACAGTTGTGAGCTTCCACGAGGGTGCTGGGAATTGAACCCGGGTTCTCTGGAAGAGCAGTCAGTTTATCTTAAGTTGTTCTATTTACCAATAAAGATAAAGATTTGGGAGTCAGATATTGGGGTGAAAATCTGCTAGATCAGAGAAACCGAGAAGCAATCAGCTGACCTTCTTTTTCAACTGAAGACCTAGAGAGAGAGAGAAGGAGAGAGAGAGAGAGAGAGAGAGAGAGAGAGAGAGAGAGAGAGAGAGACTCTTCACACACCATCCCAAACCAAAAAGACTAAAAATCTCTAAGTCCCTCCCTACTCCTTCCTGTGTCTCTCTATCCTTATTACTGGGTCCTCCATACTCTCTATAGCTAATTCTTGTCAACTAATAGTCAGCTCTGCCCCAGATCCAAGGTTAATTTTATTAACACAGAAAATTGGAGTTTCACGGTGCCATCAAATATCCTGCAACACTTCTTGTTTATATAAAATAAAGACTAATAGGACCTTGTTTATAATGTGGCTGAGCAGATCAGATGAGATCATACATAGAAAGTTCCCATCGCTTAATAAGTTCAGTAAGTGAGAGTTTCTTTCCCTGTGTGGTCTTAGGAACGATGGCAAAGATGGGCATTCAGCAACAGAACAGGGAGGTCAGAGAGAGGTACTGCACTCTCAGGGGCCACTTCCTGTGCTGGGAAACTGGGGCAAGTCACAGAGATGTTCCTAGCAAGAGTGAATATGCTAGCGGGAAACATACACCTCCCTCTGCTAAACTGGAATCCTTCATTGAATGGTGCAGATGAAATGTCTTTAAATAGGGTGTGTCAGTGACTCAATGGCCGTAGATGTGGGCTCCATTGGAACACTTGCTTTTAGAGTGACTTCACAGAATGCATGGGACCAGGGATGTGACACTCATTCTCTAGCCATTTAATAAGGTACTAACTGGAGGCCTACTGTGTTTGGAAGATCTGCTGCAGAATGGAAATGTTCTCTGCTATAGAAATCCAGCTTTTGAAATGGCACTCAGAGAGCTCAGTTTTGGTCATGATTTTGCTAGCAGGCAATGTACCAAAGCCAGTGCTTTGTGTAAGTCTGGTCCCATCCTGCAGTTTCTTCTTTTATAGTGTGAGCTGAGAATGAACTCTTCAACCATCTGAGAGTGCTCTCTGGGTCTCATGACCACAGGTAGGAAGTGTCTACTGTAGTCTGAGCATGTCTTGGACTACACGGTCATTGGCATGTGACATGGACATTGCTGGGAGGTGTTAAGACATTCTTGCTCTAGGAAACAGGGTTTTGATGTCTAACTGGACAGCTGAATCAACCGTTTCTTAAGGGAGATTTAAAGGCATTTGCTTTTCCCAAGATAAGAGGAAGGGGATTCAACCTAAACAGGCAGGAGCACAAAGAGCAGATGAACTCAGGGAAATTTGACTCATTCTGTCTCTGCTGAGCCCTATAGCTCTCAGGAAGAAACTATTAAGGTCTAATGGTACACAGTAGCAGCTGGATACTGAATGCTTCCTCCTTCAATGGGTTACAGGATCAACAAGTAAGGAAAATATGAATCTAAAGTTAAAAATTGTCATGACTGCTGTAAAAAAAAATGTGGGATACAGACATGAAGGGCAGTAGGTATGTTCAGAAAATCCTTTTCTTAGGGATATCTCTTTCTTGGTAGTCATGGGAAAGAAAAGTCAGAAGGAGTCTACGCTTTGAATTCATTCTCTCCAGCTACCCCCAGGTCCAAAGCAGACACTTGGATCTGCCTGAACACATTTGTAGACTAACACTACGCAGCATGGTCCTCTACTTTGATGGGTCTGAGTGTCATCTCAACCATTTTAACCCACTGGGTCCTGATCCTGCTGTCTGTCAGCCTGGAATATTCTCTGGGGAAGACTTGCAAACAAATGGCTTATGACTGCCTCAGACAGGTAAAGGCAGACAATTTGTTGGCTTATATAATACAAACACCAGAAGGATTTGCTTCAGGTAGAACTGGAACAGGGGCCTCTCTAAGGATTTCGGCACCTGTCTATCAGTAGGCTCCATGTATTTTTCTGATGGCTTCCAGAATTTTCAGGTCTCAACATGCAGGTATCTGTTCTATATATTATTTTCATAATAATCCTAGCCAATACTCTATTATACCTCTTTATCAACATTTGGTTGATAAATAATGACCAATAATGAGCTAATTCCAGTCGTCACAGATAGGTTCCTGTGGTTCTCTGGTTGATCACAACATGAACATCAGGGAGACAGGACAATCCAACCTCATGCAAAGTAATGGAAAAGGAAGGAACTGGTCCAAGGGAGGAAAAAAAAAACTGGAGCAATATTCCCTACAGGTAGGGAATGTGCCAGGCCACAACAGCAGCAAATCCCTCTCCAGTGAGTGGAGGGATTGGTGGGGACAGGGAGGCTGGCAAGCAGATGCTGTGAGAAACGTACAAGAGACTGCAGACATCTGGCTCTACAAGATGGCTCTCAGTTGGATCTAAGTAATTATAAAGTAGGATTACAATATGCACAACCGTGTGTTTGACAATAGCCATCATTCTCTCACCACTTTATGATTTCTTTTTTTCCGATTTTTAAAAAATGAGAAATAGCTCTTGAAATTTTCCTGTGCATTGTGGAATCCATAATCCCAGTGACCTGGCTTCCCTTTTTCAGTTTATTTTCATGGTCACCAAGAGGCATGCAATGAGGGGTAGACAACGTGGCTCCAGGGGCACAGAGTATTGGGCTCAGATTTCCAATCTCGTGAGAGGAGAGGAGAATACTGACTACTGGTCAGAGGCAAAAATTCAGGAGTATCAATCGAGTCACAGTACACCCAGCTTGCCTTAAGCAGTGTGTGCCACATCCTGCTATGCTCCGGACGCCAGGCCGCATGCCTCAGCATTGTTCTAGTGCTGCGTGGCAGCCTCAGCAGGGGACTGGACCTCGTC